ATTCAATCTTACTTCATCAATTAAGAACATATAAAGAATTATCCGGAGACAGAAATTAACTACGACGGCAACAACATCTCTACTTTCCAGATCTAGAAAAAATTACACATAAAATGCATCAAAATCTATTAAAAAAAGAATCATATTGAGAAAATAAAAACATTAGAAATCAAAAACAAAAAATCATTAAAAACATATACTTACTGCAAGCCTTAAACCAAATTAAAATCAATATGCTCATTTTTATCCAACTGTTAAGTTTCAGCTTCAAACTATCTGGATAATTTATTTCTATGAAATAGAGAAGCTTTAAAAGATATGTCCAACATTAGTATAACTTATATAATGTATCTTATCATAGATATTACCTCAGTTTGACCAGACATGATAGGTTGTCCAACCAACAATTCTGCAAGAATGCAGCCAACACTCCAAAAGTCCACTTCTACACCAATACTCAATGGCTCCAAGAAGAAGCTCGGAAGCATATACCATAAAGTCACCACTCTACTTGTCATTGGGTGCTTGTGATCAAGATCATAGAAGAAAGCTAACCTAAAACCAGCAATCTTGACAATTCCATCGTTGTTGATAAGAAGGTTTAAACCTTTAATATCACAATGCAAGACATATGTCATATTTCAGATTTGTCCGCCTTAGTGTTATCGTCAAATTTATTTTCGAACTTGAGTTTTACATGGTGAAAGATTCTTTTGATTTAATTACATTAATATTTTGAGGTTTTTAATAAATATTTGCTTTCAAATCTGTTTAAAAATATAATAGTTATTTGTATTTTTAAAAATAGCAAATAATTTTTCACCTTCATATACTTTCAATTGGCTTAATATTCAATCAATTTTCAATCTTCAAAATTATGACAAAAATAGATCAATCTCAATTAGTGCACTTTGGATATTTTTTGTTACTAACTATTTTCTAATTATTTTCAAAATCACAAAAATCATGTTTTTTTATTATTTAAATATTATTTTCGTATTTTTAATTATGGCATTTTTAAAAAATAATTATTTATTTGATTTTATGCACTTTTCATCAAAATTGAGTGCAAAAATCATAATAAATACCAAAAATATTTTCTTTCCGAGATAATTATTTTTTATTGGTTAATTTGCGTTAATTTGTGTCATAATCAACTTCTGATTGGTCAACTTGTTGACCAAGAAAGATCTGATTTATATTATTCCCTTATTTGCCCTTTAACTTGATTTTGACCGTCTATAAATAAGGTCATATTTTCACAGTTTTAGGACATCCAGAAATATTCACAATTTCCACCGTATCGACAATTTCCAATATTATCCAAACTTGCTAATTTGCTTTTACAATTCTTTTTGGTTTATTCGATAGTTGTTGACTATATTCGACAACAACCTAAGAACAATACACTTTTTCCTCTTTAACAATTTTCTACACATTTACAAACGACTTTTTTTGGGCTGATGATTTCATATGAGACCCCCCAATTTTATTTTCGTTTTTACCTTTTCTGTTTTTTTACCACATGATGATTATTGATGGTTTTTATTTTCAAAATTATATTATTTACTAACTTTTTTGGAAGCCAATTTCCAGACTGTATACATTTTTACGATCCGGAATTCATCAACAATTTTTCCATCGATCATACACAAATTACACAACCATGTTTCGGTGAAGCTTCCACGCACCAACGCACGAAGCCCCTCCGGCAACCCTCCAATCGCGGCCACCACCACTATAATTATGAACGAAAAAAGGGGCACAGCCACCATTGGTTAGTGCTTTAAAAACTTGATGATAGCAATAGAGATAAAGTCACGTGAAAGGTAATCTCTTCAATTTCTTTCATTTGTTATTTCTATTTTATTTTATTTTTTACACAAACTCTTGTTTAAATTAGGCTATAGATATCGTGTAACAATCCTTTCATATTTAATTTACTAATCATTCTATTTAGTTATTTTATTATTCTAAAAAAGGACATAAAATATTAATTTCATTAATTATTTAATTTAGTTTATAAAAAATGTTCAAACACAAAAATGGGTGATTTTATTATTAGCTTTAGATTCGTTGGTAAATAATTAATGTAGTTATATAATTATTTGGCTAATTAAATTTAATTGATGTATTATACTTTATTAACTTTTAATTATAAGAATTCAAAAAATCAAACTTTTTAATTAAAATTCTACTTAATATCCCATCTGCATTTTGGGCCCAGTTCAATATCTGAACTAGGGCTCTTCATCTTAACACCTTCAGATTAAGTTTTGCACCCCTTAATCTTAATTAATTAATTAATTATAATTCTTCTAATTTTCATTTTTTACCATATATGGCATTTTTACATATTTTGCATTAAATATAATTTCCGCGCATTAATAAATAATTATTGGATATTTTTAATATTCGATATATTTTTAATAATTAGGAAAGATAGTTATTTATTAGCTTAAATATGTTTCTAAAACACTAACTCTTTTTTTTTAAATTGCATTAAATATTTTTCTCATCCAAACATATTTTTCTCATATCGCATCATACATCCTAAAATAGCTAATCAATCAAACACTAACAATTTTTCCACTAACATAACAAAATCCAAGATATTTTCATAAAAAGGATTAAGGAGAATTTCTTTCAAAATTAACTGTGAACTGCGTCTACGACCACTCTTTTACAAAACCCAGACAAGGTTCAAGGATAAATTCGAAAGCAATTATACGTAATCCTATAAAAAACACCAACCAAACACTACGAACTATGAATTGAGACTCTGATTCCTCATAAGAGGATACGCAAGCATACGATCAAAAATCGTAGCGAGTTCTCCTATTAAAAAATTAAGACTCTTTTCTCCTAATTAAAATTCAAACCCCCTTTTTCCCCTATAAAAAATTTAAACCATTTCCCCTAATAAAATTTAAATCTTATTTCCCCAACTCAAACCTAAAACCTGGTATCCTTGTGAACAAGGTAGATGAAAGGTGCCTAACACCTTCCTTTCGTCTAAAGAAGTCTGAAACCTAGAATCTCTGTATGTGAATTAGGGTGTTCTGTTAGATTCTCTTCCCTAGGATAAAAACTAATAGTGGCGGCTCTGATTAAAAATCTAGTTGCAACAACATTATGGTTGTGACAATGTTCTAGCCCAGAAAATAGTTGATGCATGTAATATTTTTCCTAAAAAATGCAGATATAATCATACATATATCTTCGACTTGAACGTGTACTTTAGTAATGTAAACCAATACCTGAGGCTCTGTGAAATTAATCGCAGGGTTTATGGAGAGTCCAGCCAAATCACGAGCCATATATTCAAACATAAGATATAAACTACACAAAATTCTAGAAGTCACCAAGCCTTCAAGTTTAACAACATTGGGATGATCCAATCGACGCAGAACCAGAATCTATCTCGCCATGAACTTCACACTCTTAGTCTCTAAATTGTCGAAATGAACCTTCTTTAACGCAACAATCTTCCCCGTTAAAGTATCCCTTCTGTAATACTTTTTTAAATAAGCTCACTATACATCCTGTTACAGCAAAAACATACATGGGATTTAATATTCACTAAAACAAAATATAACCTAGACAAATGATTTACTGCAAAAACTAAAACTTAGAAGGAAACAAAAGATACCTACCTATACACGTTCAACATGTCCAAAAATATCAATGTGATTTAGGGTAGGAAATATGTTCCTAAAGAAGATGCAACGCTTGTATCCGTCTGCAATTAGGAAGTGACATCAATATCAAGCTTATTATCATATTAGGAGGTAAAACAAACAAAAACTATAGACCATGGATACAAATAATTATTGGAAATACAAAATTAATCGTGTAACCTCAGAATTATTGTTTTTTTTTTCCGAATCGTCAGTATTCTTGGAACCAAAATCATTCTCTATAAACAACTTTCTTTGGCTCTTCTATTGAAGCATTCAGTGAGTGAAAATCTGCAAAATCTGGAAAATAAACATGAAGATGAACATGAACATAGTCCTGTATATCTCCAAACATGTCAACAAATCAAAACAGTTGAAATCAACACACATAAAATATAACAGTAATCAATTTTAAGGTTTCAACGAAAAATATGAGGGTTCTTCGGTGGAGATCAGCGTAAACCAAACCACACATCAAAATGAAAAGAAACAAATCCTAATTTTTGTAAGACCTTTTCTCTAATTTTCAGCCATTGTTCTGCATCTTGCTTCCTAACATAAAATCTAAAATCAGAATAAGAAAAAACAACAACATCACGATTCCAGAAAAAAAATATGTTAAAGAGTTAAAAAATAGCAACAACAACAACATCTTTTTCGGTGAATGAAAATGGGTTGATTGTGTTGGAGAAAAAGCAGTCGGTAAGGAGACGAGAGAGTACGAAAATTGCTTTATGAGAGAGAAATGGAGGTGACAAATGAGAGAGATGGAAGTGTAATGAAAAATAGTGGAAAAGTAGAATGTTATTACACATAATTTTCTTTTAAGCGAGTAAAGAAAAGATAAAAAAAAAATTGAAAATTTTGAGTGACACTTAACATAATGAAAAAAATGTGATTGAGTAGTATAAATATATTCAGATAATCACCATTAAAAACTTATTGTATTATAATTTATTTTTAAAGAAAATATAAGATAGGAAGTTTATAAGCATCTTCTAATCTTATTTAATTAAGTAGTAGAAAATTAAAAAAAGATTTTTAGAAAAACTCCACAAATAATAACAATTAACAAAATTTAGAAGTAAGAAATATTTAAATTTGAATGAGAAAAAAAAACATTAACATATAAAAGTTAAAATAACGCAGAGAATTTAGTAATTACGACTGATTGAGGAAACATACGTTTGACCGAAAGGTATGACATGGCGATTCCTTAATCACTAAACAAACAACACACGTTGCAAAATCATATACACAGGGTTAAAAATACCCAGAATCACCTTCTGATTCGATTTCCACCTAAAAACAACGCATGAGATGAAGCTTCGCGTTTCAATCTTCTTCATCTTCATCATCTCCACCTCCATCGCCCAATCCCAACGACTCTCTCTTCTCCCCAACGAAAACGGCTTCTCTCCTTCCGCTCTCGTTCTTCCTCCATCACCGTCTGTTCCAAATACTTCCTATTCTCCATTTTCATCTTCGATTTATTAATAATTCTGACATTTTCATTCCAAAATTGATTCTGCAGAAAACCTGCTACGGCACTGGTTGCTGCCCTAGACGGTACTGTTTACCTCGTTGAAAGTGCTTCTGGAAGGGTAATTTGGTCTTTTTCTACTGGATCCCCAATCTATCATTCCTCCGCCAGTACTCCGTCTTCTGGACTCATCGAATGTGGTGATGACTGGGAATTGATCTTTCATGATACCCACTTTGGCAAAACGGTATTCTCATTTTAAAGTGTATGTCTTGTTTTTTTTTTTTTACTCTACTTTTATTTGACTTAGGTTAGGACCTGATTGAACGGTATACTTGTTGTGACGTCTGTTATGTTGACTTTTCTTCTATTGTATGATCAATAAGTTGTGTTGAAACTTGAAACCTGTAGAGGCTCAAGGAATCTGTTGCTGACTATGTTGCTGTTACACCTATTGTGTCTAAAGATGGGGCTGTTATACTTGGATCCAAAAGGAGCACTGTATTTGAAGTCGATGCCAAAACTGGGAAGCTCCTTAGAAGCTACGGTGCTGCTGATTTTCATAATGCTTCTACTACTGCAGTCTGGAGTGCTGACAAGGACAGACACAAAGTTAGTACTGTTGTCGGTGCAAATAATAACCAGCTTGCTGATCCAGGAAACCTCAGTTTACCAGAGTTCTTGCTCCAGATAGTTAGGACCGATTATTTTTTACAATCTGTGGGTCCTGGTTCGGGAATAGTGTTGTGGACTATGTCAGTAGCTGAATTTGAGGCTGTATTATTTTGCAAACATAATGAAAATCCTACCTTCAAGGCTTCCGCTTCCGCTTCCCTTGATGCAGAAGGTGAGTATGCTTTTGATGTTGACAGTGGCTTGGATTTTGATATGCCGTATGCGTGTCCAGACAGTAAACTCAGAGAAGTCTATCGCCAGCGAAAGAATTTTCTGTTTGAACCTGCTAACTTTGAAAGATTATCTGATGTTAGTTCTTATCAACAACATGATATGCTCCCCATGCCGGTTTCACATCTGATGCTTCCATCACAACCTAAGAATGAAAAATTCCTCCCTGGTCATAATGGTAATATGATGCTTCCCGGGCCAAATTCTTTGCAGCCAAAAATAAGCTTCTCTGATAGTAATGATAATAATGCAGTTGTGCTCTCTCAGCCCCATATGGAGATTGCTGCACCAAGGGAAATTGATCTGAACAGGGTGATTGAATTGTTAATGACATTATTGGCTGTATTATCTGTGGTCTTTCTTCTGATATTTTACCAAAATCGATCTACAAATAAAGCTACATCGAAGGTCCAAATCAGTGGCTTAGATTTGAAAAGCCCACCTTCTAAGAAAAAGAGAGCACGTAAGTCAGGAAAAAACAATGTCATTGTTGAAAAACAGGATAATCATCTGTATTCAGTTGAGGAGAATATACGAATACATAAGGCAGCCGAAAATGAAGCACGGTTGCTGTATAATAAAGTTAACGGACGCAGGATCGGTAAACTGCATGTATCTAATAAAGAAATCGCAAAGGGAAGTAATGGTACCATTGTTCTTGAGGGGATATATGAAGGTCGATCAGTTGCTATCAAACGTCTTGTTCAGGCTCATCATGATGTAGCTCATAAAGAAATCCAAAATCTCATTGCTTCTGACTTTCATCCAAATATTGTCCGATGGTACGGCGTGGAATATGATCAAGATTTTGTTTATCTTGCTCTGGAACGTTGTGCATGCAACTTGGATGATTTAATTAGTATTTATTCAGATATGTCAGAAAATCCAGTGCTAAACAAAGATCGAGCTTTTGAATTTTTCAAGAAGGCCCAGATAGAGACACAGGGGGATGATACACAGTGTCTTTGGAAAACAAATGGTTATCCATCTCCTCTTTTACTAAAGCTGATGAGGTTAGTAAAAAAACTTAATTTGATGAACTATTACTGGATGCAGTATATAATTGTCACACTTCCTACGTTTTTTTTTTATAGCAACAGTTCTTTCTCAGACAAGGCAGAAGAAATGTTAATTGTTGAATAAAAAGCAACTGTACCTCTGGATTTTTTTTTACTTTTTTTTTTGTGTATAGTCGGTTGGTATTGTATGCTTTAAGAGAACACTGCTTAAATTTTTCGGACTAGTGAGTTTAGTCATGTACGGATGAGTGTTACAGTCCCATCAGTAAATGGTGCAGCAAAACAAGATTAACATACTGTTGTGATAAGGAGGAGTTTATTAGATTTAGCATTAGGAGTTAATTATTTACTTGGAGAAGTATTTGCATAATTAGAGGAATGCAATGATAGAGGGGTATGATTAAATAGAGTAGTGACTATTGTAAAGGGAAACCCCTGGGCGGAGAGATTTCTCTCCTATTTTCTTTTATCCTTTCTTAGTCTGTCAATAAATATTCACTCTTTTCAACTTAAATTTCTAACACGTGCTCTAAATGTTTCGATGGCAGAAGTAAAAGCAAGGGTTTTATATGATGGTTCAATTATAAGTTAAGAAATGCTTTTTTGTTAAGATTGATGTTTAGGTGCATTGCTGCGATTAAGGAGATGTGATTTTTATAAATAACAAGGATGTGTTATAAATAGGGGTGGCAGATCTAAGATAGCAGCTTCGGTAAATAGATAATGAGATACATGGAAAGCATGAATGGAGGTAAAATCATAAATGGTAGTAGCAACAAGATTGAAGGATAGTGAACAAAAGTGATTTATTAGTGTTGAAATTTCCGCCTTAATTGTAGTCCGCCCCTAGTCGCCTTAATGGCTGCATTTGGCTTGCCTTCATTACATTCCCCAACACTTTCATTGTGTAGGGTTTGAAGGGGGTGAATTTAGTCCCGCATTGCTTAGAGATATGACCTATATTGTGTTTATAAGTGGAGGTAATCTTCACTCTACAAGCCGATTTTGTAGGGATGAGTTAGGCTCAACCCAAATTCTGAGATGGTATTAGAGCCTATCCTAGATCTGTTGTTGGGCTTCCCGTATCATCCACGCTTCGGGATCATTGAGGCCCAAGTGTGAAGGCGTGTGTTGGAATTTCCGCCTTAATTGCGTTCTGGCCCCCGTCGCCTTAATTGCGGCATTTGGCTTGCCTTCATTGCAGCCCCCAACACATTCATTGTGTTGGGTTTGAAGGGTGGATTTAGTCCCACATTGTTTAGAGATATGGCATGTCTTGTGTTTACAAGTGGGAGCAATCCCTACCCTATAAGCCGGTTTTATAGGGGTGAGTTAGGCCCAACCCAAATTCTGAGAGTTAGTAGTATACACGGTGTCCCTGTTTTGTTTCCATCTAGGACTATTGTATTTAAGCCTAGTATCAGAGGTTGACAGTTCTTCATTTATTGATAGAAGATGAATCCCCACTTTCTTCGTTTAATTTACACCTATTTATTTATTTTTTGTTGACATATTGACTTTTGCTTTTATATTGCAACACAGGGATGTGGTTTCAGGGCTTGTTCATTTGCATGAACTAGGAATAATACATCGCGATTTGAAACCCCAAAATGTTTTGATAATCAAGGAAAGATTATTATGTGCCAAGCTTTCTGATATGGGGATTAGCAAGCGACTTCTTGAAGATATGTCTTCATTAGGCCATAGTTCTACTGGTGAGTAAAAAGTTAAGTTTGTGTTTTTTAGCACTCACTGTTGCTAATTAGCAATATTATTTTAGCATAATTCTACATGTTAAATTATGTATCTTAACGGGTTCATTCTTCATTATTCTTTTTTCCCTTGCAATAATTTTGAATGACTTAATTGCAGGCTGTGGCAGTTCGGGTTGGCAAGCGCCAGAGCAGCTTCTTCAGGGACGTCAAACACGGGCTGTGGATTTGTTTAGTTTAGGCTGTGTCCTCTTTTTCTGTATGACAGCAGGTAGACATCCATTTGGAGATCGTCTCGAGCGTGATGTCAATATTGTTAAAAATAAAAAAGATCTTTTCTTAGTGGAGTTCTTTCCTGAAGCTGAGGATCTTGTTTCTTGTTTATTAAACCCTGACCCCAATCTAAGGTATGCCATTCTCATTCATTTTGACTTTTAGGAGATTGAAATTTTATTCTACTGTACCTTCATTAATAGTTTGCATTATGACATGACTTAAATGATATGTAGGTAGCATAAAATGATGGATTATATGTGAAATGTTGTTTAGTTTGATGGATGATATGACTTAATTATTTCATTTAATTGTCAGGCCAAAGGCGATTGAAGTATTGCATCATCCTCTATTTTGGAATTCTGAGATGAGACTTTCATTTCTTCGTGACGTCAGTGACAGAGTGGAACTTGAAGATAGAGAGACTAATTCTGTTCTTTTAAATGTATTAGAAGGCACAGCTCCAATGGCTTTAGGTACAAAATGGGACGAAAAGATGGAATTGAATTTCCTTGCTAACATTGGTCGTTACAGGCGATATAAATTTGATAGTGTTCGAGACTTGTTGAGGGTCTTGAGAAACAAGCTAAATCATTTTAGAGAATTGCCTCTAGAAATTCAGGTTTCTTCTTGGACTAGTATTTTTTGTAATTTCTTTTCCTTTATTCTCTGTTTGAGGATTAGGCTTTGTCTAAATAAGTTAATTCAGGTTTCTTCTTGGACTAACACCTATAATTTCTTTTTTACTGGCTTATCAGGAACTGATAGGACCTATTCCAGAAGGATTCAATGAGTACTTTGCAAGTCGATTTCCAAGGCTCTTGATTGAAGTGTACAAAGTTATATGCAATTATTGCAAAGATGATGAATGTTTTCAAAGATATTTTAGAGACATTGATTAATGCATTAACCTTGATCAGATAGATAAGATGACTTGATAATTTGTCTAGTAGTAGCAAAGAACAGTTGTATGCATGCAAATTATGTAATGTTATATGTATATTATTACTACTACACATGGCTAGAGAATGTAACCCTCTTAGAGATGAAGGAACCGTAAAGTATAATATATTAAAATATGGTTTTTGTTCTTTGAATCAAATAAAGTTGTAGAAAAATAAATAAATGTTGTTTAAATGTGAGAAATTAAATAGTGATCTACTTATTCAAATATCTTAACACTATTTAGAATTCAACTAATAGTCATTGTTATTGATGAATTGATTATTCAAACAAAATATGGATCATTATCTATTTGAAAATTGAAAATAAACATGTACTTACAAAATATATCATTAAAATTCATTAAAAAGTACATATTAAAAACCTAAAATAAAAAAAGTTATACAATTATAAATATTTGTATATCTGTATATAATTAACATTAAGAAATACAGTGCTAGATAAATCATTTCAAAGATTTAAGACACATGATAGTGTTCTCAAATTCTAAAAAAGTATGATCGATAAATTGACTTTTATCTTTAGGAGTTATTCTAACAAAACCAAACGATTTTGTCCAAGTATTTATTGCATCCTCAGAGGAATGCAAAATCAAGCTCCCAACACCTAAGGCAACCAATTGTTTCTCAAGCTCATTCAGTAACAAACGACACATTCCACGTCCTCGATATCGTTTCTTGGTGGCCACGAAAACTATCTCCGCAACATTTTGACCGTAAATCCTTATAGTTGCCACCGAAATCACCTCACAATTTTTCTTTAAAATCACGGTAAAGAACCCAGAAAAATTCAAGCGTTTGTTTTTTGATTCTCTACTAAAAATCAAATCTTTAATTAAGTCTCTTCCTGATAAAACATCAATAATTGGGTTAAAACTCGCATACAATAAACCAAGAGCCGCATTCAACTTACTCTTCTTTTGACTAAACTTATTAGAGGAAAAATCTTGACCATCATCATTTATAACACTACTCACATTTTTCTCTAATGTCCAAGTTATGTTGTCCGCAACCTCAATTGGTTTCCCTAACAACTTCATTAGGTCTAAGAATATGTTTCCACAAACTAAACTACAAAACCAATCCTTCTTTTTCTTATTACTCTCCACATACCATAATCCAAAGTTTATAAACTTTAAACATCCAAAGTGATACTTTTTCTCACATTGAGCACAAACAAGAACAATATTATCCATGTGATCTTTACATTCTTGTTTGCATTTGGGTCGTCGACATACTTTGCAACAACAACTTGGACAGAACCAATCATTTTCGGGAACTTGATCGAGTCCTAAGCAACAAAGGTGAAACGAAGAAGGGCATCGATCACATAGAATTATGTTACCTCCAAGACCACAAACTAAACAAACACTGTCGTTATTTTCTTCAACAACAAAATGATCTTTATTTTGATCACGCGAATTCAAAGCATCCCTTTGACATTTTAACAATGATCTTCCATCTTCCAACAAAATACTAGTGGATGGTCTATGTCTTGTACAATCAGCATGAGCCTCAAATTTAGTGATAGAAAAAATAACTTGACAACAATCGCAAACTATACCATCATAAGATAAACGCCCTCTTTTGACAATATTATTTCTACCACGACAAGATACTTTAGTCCCCTGAGATAAAACATGATTCCTTATCAACCAAGAAACAAGTGTAGACCTCTCCCTTACACGCATATTTAATACCTTTTCAACTTTAGTCTCCGATTTAGATTCACTAACACGTTTTTCATTTTTCTTTGATGTTGATGTTGTAGTCATAATAGATTTTTCAACACTGTTAGAAATAGAGGTTTCATAATCCTTATCAAAAGTTGATTTATCGAAATTTTCAAAATTTCTTGATCGCTTTTTTGACAATAATGTGATTGAAGATATCGATTTTGTTGTTGCTGCTTGTGGTGTAACCGAAGGTTGTTTGATAGAACAACCTCCTTTAATGTTAATCTCCAGTGGATGTGAAAGAGAAGCCATAAAAAGTTAAACTAAAGACTTTGTTTTGTTGTTCAGAAAAGTTTAAGCTATCGACACAAAAACACAAATGTATTAGAATTTAAACACAATTGTGCTAGAAAGGTTATTTTTTAATCAAAAAGATATTTGATTGATTTTTTTAAAGGAAAATATCTTAGATTGATATTTATTGATTTTTTTAAACTAAAATGTACAAAACTTATTAACTAAGAATATTAATTTCACATGATTTAGTATTTCTAAAGATTGCATCAAAAATAAATAAATAAAATGTTTTCAAATAAAATTTTAAATTTAAAGATTTACTAATTTTACTTTTAAATATGAAGATAGACTGTATGCTTGTATATAATATGCTTATTTTTATAACCTTTTTTTTTGTTGTCGAAGAAAATAATAGTTGACGTACATTATAACAAAAATTAAGTTTAAGGTTTTGGATCCAGTTTTATCATATAATAAAATTGATTGAAAATAATACGATGACATGAATAAAACCAAAATATCACTTTTTCATGTGTGTAAAAAAAGGAATAGATAGCAATAAAACAAAGAAGAATAAGAGGCATGATGCGAAAAATAATATATAAAAAAGTTAACATAAAAAAAATAAGGCAATGAAAAAAAAAATACTACACAAAAGTGTTATAAACTTACCGCTCTAAATATGAAAGTAAACAAATAGTTTTTCTTTCTTTTCAACTTCTTCACCTCTTGAAGTTTTCAAAACTCAATAACTAAACAATTGAAATATTTTCTCATCAATTTCTCTCCTTTTTAATATCACAAAAGGAATATCAAGGGGGTATTTATAAATACCAATCTATAATAGATATTGAAGGAAGGAAATAAAAAAGTGCACAGATCATTAATTAAAATAGATTGACAAATCTGAAAAATCATATCTTTTCTTTTTAGTGATTCTCTTTTAATTGATTAAATATAGATTTATTAATAATATAATCATTTCATCTAAACTTGATGAGGTGGCATTACTATAATCCTTCTGAGAGTTATAAATTATCTCGTATAAAAAACATTTAAATTTCGTATTGTATTTACATTAAATACAAAATTGCATGTTCATAAATAAGGAAATATATTATATTATTCAAAGGTAGAAAAATTCAAATTTATTACAAATAATTTTTTTTTGATATTATTAAATTATTTTTCATTATATAAAATTCAAAAATAAAATAAAAAATAAGTTAAATTATAAGTTTTGTCCTATAATTTTACTTGATACACTAAATTATTCTTCTTATTTTTAAATTTAAGCCGTTCTGATTTTTCTCTCATGTTTTTCTATAAAAATTATAGAGATTCTTATTTTTAAACTTATTTTTTATCTATACAATTTTACAATATATTTATATACGATAATTTATCGTATTTTCATAAAAAAATATTATTTTTTAGTTTAAAAATATAAAAGGATCAAAACTGTTTAAATTTAAAATAGAAATTTAAATTATAATTAAATCCTAATAATAAAATACACTTTTAGTATGAAGAATATTTTATATTCACCGGTCATTGATAGTTTAATGTATGTTATAATTTGTATAAGATCTGATATTTCTCATGTCGTGAGAATGGTGAGTCGTTATCTCTCAAATTCGGGAAAAAGATCATTGGGAGGCCGTGAAGTGGGTAATGAGATATTTGCGTGGAACTTTGAATTTGAGATTAATTTTGGAATGTAAGAAGCCTATGCTGGTTGCATTTGGCTGGAAGCTTAGATAATCAAAATTGCAAAAGTGTGTTGCACTCTCTACTACCGAAGTTGAGTTTATAGCCGTCGTGGAAGCTTCAAAAGAGTTGTTATGGTTGAGGAAATTTGTAATAGAATTTGATGTGAAATAAGAAAAGTATGTCTTGTTTTGTGATAATCAAAGTGTCATTCACTTATCGAAAAATTCCTCCTTTCACTCGATATCGAAGCATATTGATATTCGTTATCATCGTATTAACAATTAAACAATATGTAATTCACCGTCATCATCATGTTAGCAATTCATCAATTGTAGTACACGGTCAACACATAACATCCATCATACTACGATACATACTTCATCAATATTCAACCATCAAATTATCAATTACAATGTAATACAAAAAGACAGACACTGGCTCAATGCATGTGGTACCAACAGAGTAAAACCCTTATCATATTAATGCCAACTTAGAGAAGTAACATCATAACGCCAATACAGGCCACCGCTCACCAATACAGGTCATCGCTCTGTTTACCTTGGGTTTTGGTAAACAACCGCTGATCCTCCAAATGGTTACTTATTTGGTTACTCGCAGGATCGATCAGATTGATCCTATGGACATAGGTTGATTTTGAAGTTTGATTAAGGTGGATAAGGCTTTAAGTAAAATGTTTCGAGTAAATTGCATAAAGGAAAGGCTTGGTAAAATAAACAAGGCTTTAAAGTAAAGGTTCGACAGGAATTTAAAGGAGAAAAGCAAGTAAAATACTGGAAAAGTAAATGACTTTAATTGATAAAATTGGTGTTTCACACATACATTTCTCAACAATTCTTTCGCTCACACTGGGTACTTGAATCTAAATGAGTGACTATGTATCTATTTGTGAACACACGCGAGAAACTACATGTCTACTCCTATTTATACTAAACATTCCAAGTAACCGTCGGGCAGTTACACTGCTTCGAGATTAAGCCACTTGGCACGTTCTCCATGCTCGACGCTCCAGATCCTTGCACGTTTGCACGTAGTAACTGTTGGAAACCGTTTTCCCTCCAAAGCTTTGAATTTCAAACTGCTCCACTCTGGACCATCGAACACCTTCATCAAGAGACGTCTTCGACGAAAACTCCTTCGACGTCGAAGGCAATCAGCCTTCTTCCTTGGAAGAAATCTTCTAAGTATTTTGCCATCTTTCGACGGGCACTTCGACAGACTTAGCCAGTTGAAAGTATCTTTCAGCTTTTAATGGCTGCCATCAATCAAAACAAAGGTGTCGAATTTAGGAGCCAACAAATTGCCCCCCAAGAATGCCTTATTTCGACTCTGAAAGAAAAAGGCATTCTTTGAAAACGCCATTTGACACCTGTTTTTCCACGCTTAGTCACAAGTTAACTTGTGCACTTTTTGTTGCTTTTTACCAACTATTGGTAATCCCAAGAAACCATCATTGATTTGATCCTAGGACGTCACTTTCAGTACGGCGTGCAGTACCAAACATCACTTCAGAATTTGTCATTATGACAAATCCCAAAAACGAGGACGCACGCTGCGTCTCTCTGTTTCTGCAGAAACGGCCAAAACAACAGGATGCTGCCACGCGTCCCACTAATTCCTGCAGCATTAAATGACATTTAATGTCCTCGTTATTGGGAATTTCTCCCACTACTATAAATAGTAGTGAATATCCCATTGTGGGACTTTTTACGCAAACTAGCCCTCAAACTTCCTTGTTTTCATACAAACTTGCTCTCTTTGCAGAAAAACTCTTCCCTTTTCACTTCATCTTCATCCTCAACAATGGCCTCTGCTTCTACTGCCCCCAAGACTAACGCACCAACTGAACAACTTGTTAAACCCAAGGTCTTTGTTACTACTCCGGTAGTGAACTCTACAGGGAAACGAAGGGTTCCTGAACCTTCTGACATCTCCGTTCGCGATGCTTACTCGCGTCACTTGATGATCCCGGTTGGATACTCCAACCAGATCTTCGCAATGTCTGGCCCCATGAACCCAAGCATCTCTGAAGCTCTGAAGATCAAGAGCTATTTCCCCATCGTCGAGAAACTCAAGCCAGTAGCATGCGCCAAGAAGGACGCAGAAGACAACGAAGACCCTACACGCGAGAAAATCGACCTCCGTTTCTTCAACAGAAGTGTTAGGGTCTTCAGGTCTTGCCCTAACCTGACCTCTGACTATGTTGCTTGGCTGACAAAGTTGGAGAAACATCAAACTCCAGTCTGGAAGGAAATGGGAATCTTTGACCTAGTAATGCTGTCGAAGACAGGCTTAAACTACTCCCCAGAAATGCTTATAGCTTCGCTGTTGTTCTGGGATTACTCTCACTTCACCTTTCACCTTCCATGTGGGATGTTAACCCCCACACTCTTCGACGTAGCAGCCATTACTGGCCTTCGACCAACCGGAGATTACTTCGACCCGGAGGAGATGTCGGAGGACCAAATTGGCTTTTCTGAGACCAAGCCAACATACACCACCTTTATCAACCATTATCACGACAGGTCGACGGATTCAGTGTCGGATGTCGAACACATAGCGTTTCTAGCCTTATGGCTAACTCGCTTTGTGTTTTGCTCGAAGTCTCTACAAGTGACCAAAAAGATGGTCACTCTTGCCACCCAACTGCATCACCGCCAAAACATCTGTTTGGCAGAACTAATTCTGGCCAGTCTTTACGACTCCATCAGCAATGGGGTTACTCTCTTGAAACATATCGAAGATAGGGCCAGTCTGCTACTCGCTGGGCCTTTCTGGCTACTTCAACTGTGGCTCAATGCCACTTTCGAATCTTTCTTACCCAAGAAGATTCAGATAAATGAACAAGCCCCAGCGATAGCTAATAGACGTATCGAAGGGATTAGGCTGGCTCTACTGACACCTGTGGAAGATGGGCTGGAGTTTCAACAAACCTTCACTAACTTCGTTCTGATGTTCGCTCGAAGGAAGGAATTTGTTTCAACTATGGCTCCATTTGCTCAACGGAGGGTGGGGCCAGCATGGTTCACAAGGCCACATCCAAAGGAGTCGAGTGGTCCCAATGTCGATGAGCACACTGTACTTTGGGAGGCGTTCCTGACACCCAGGATCATGCCTCTTCGATTTAAGAGTTCTAAGACTCATTTGAGTCTGCTTGCCTATCAACCAAATCTGGTATCTCGCCAGTTTGGTATCATCCAAACCCTGCCTTCTCCCATTTTTCAAAGAGAGAAGTCAATGTTGTACTTCTGCAACGATTATACAGAAGAAGCTGCCATCAAGCA